GAATTTCGAGGAGGGTGGCTCTGCCGGCTCATCCTATTTTCAGAAACTTCAAATCGAAATCGGAGGAATCTTATGGAAGGACCAAGGTTCTTAGAGGAATCTTATGGAACAAAATTTTGCTGTGAGACAAGATTATGGTAGGAATAGAAAATATTTTATTGGGCGCACTGTTCAAGGCCCTATTCTGTTCTATATATAGACAGGGTAAAAACCCTAGATTACATTGTAGTGTGACACGTATACAAAGGAATATACTAGAAGAATGATACAAGGTTCACATTTACAGATCAGGAACATGCTTGAGTGTAATGGGCCTGCGTAATGGGCTTTCTTATTGGACTTCCTGTTATATTCTTAACATCCCCCGTCAAACTAGGCCTGGGTGAAGGGACAAGGCCGAGTTTGTCTCTGAAAGCCCAAAATCGAGAATGAGACAAGGCTTTTGTGAAGAAGTCAGCAATCTGATCGGACGAGGGAACATACCGAACTGAGAGTTGCTGTCCGATAACTCTGTCTCTGATGTAATGAACATCAAGTTCGATATGTTTTGATCGAGCGTGAAATACCGGATTGGAAGCTAGCGCAGCAGCACTTAGATTATCGCACCACGCAATCGGGGGTTGTTTCAGATGGATCCCCAATTCTCCGAAGAGGGATTGAAACCACGCAAGTTCCGTTGAGAGATTCGCTAGAGCTCGGTACTCGGATTCAGCAGAGGATCGAGAAACAACAGGCTGCTTTTTGGCGGACCATGAAATTAACGAATCACCAAGGAAGACACAGAACCCTCCTATTGACCGCCGATCGTCTGGACATACGGCCCAGTCTGCATCAGAAAATCCTTGCAGCATCAGGTGAGTACTCGGTTTGATATGTAGAGCAAGGTGAATAGTCCCTTTCAAATATCTCAGTATTCGTTTGAGTGCTTGCCAATGAACATCTGTCGGTGAGGAGAGAAATTGACTCAATTTGTTGACAGCAAAGGTGATATCCGGTCTTGTGTTGATTAGATACTGTAGCGCTCCAATAGCTTGCCTGTAAGAAGTAGGATTGTTGAGTGGAACGCCATCTGCTTTAGAGTATTGTCGGTTGACAATCATAGGAGTAGGAACTGATGAACAATTTGTCATGCCAAATCTATTAAGAATCGATAGAATGTATTTGCTCTGCTTCAAATATAGTCCAGTGTTGTCTCTGTAGGCCTCAATACCCAGAAAGTAATGAAGCAAACCCAGATCCTTTAGAGCAAAATGTGAGTTTAAATGCTTGATAAACAGTTCTAGTACTCTAGGGGAGTTTCCAGTGACCACTATATCATCCACGTAGATGAGAACAAACATAACAAAATCTTTCCCTTTTATGAAGAACAAGGAAGTATCACATTTGGAGTGAACGAAACCCCAATCTAACAAGGTTGACCTTAGCTTTTCAAACCAAGCCCGGGGAGCTTGTTTCAAACCATAAAGTGCTTTCTTCAAGAGGCAGACATGCTTTGGAAATTCTGAAGATATAAAACCTTCAGGTTGTTTCATTAATACTTGTTCTTGTAGGTCACCATTCAGAAAAGCATTATTAATGTCTAGTTGTCTTATTTTCCAGCCACAGGTTATAGCAAGAGATAGAACGAACCTTAGGGTGGAGGTTTTCAGGACTGGACTAAAAGTCTCATCGAAATCTTCTCCAGGTCTTTGTTGAAAACCTTTAGCAACTAATCTAGCTTTAGGTTTAAAACCAGATCCATTTACCAAAGGTTTGGCCTTGAACACCCATTTACAGTCAACCAGTTTCCTTTGCCCATTATAAGGAACTAATTCCCAAGTGCGATTTAGCATAAGTGCATTATATTCTTCTGACATAGCTTGCTTCCAATCAGCAGAGTTCATCGCCTCTTGAACAGTAGTGGGTTCTCTGATAGTGGTTACTTCAGTTGTCACGGCTCCAATATAGGGTTGTTTAGGTTTAAAAACCCCTGCCTTGCTTCTAGTTATCATTTGATGTCTGACCGGGGAGATACTGTCAGTCTGTGAGGATGAACTTTGAATACTTCTTTCTTCAGTATTAGGAATTGTAGATTCATGAAGTTGATTTTCTCTGCTTTCTGCCTCAGGAAAGTTAATGGAAAAATTGTCTCCATCTTGTTGCTCTTCTTGTGTAGTACCTTCCTCAACCGTGGGCAAAGGAATCAGGACTGGAGTTCCTTGAGAGGAATCAGATGAACTAGCTGGATCAACCTGCTCAGAATCAGTTGTTGGACAAGTATTGGGCAGCGATGATAGAGCTGGTTGGAAAAAAGCCTTAGGATGCACTTCTTCCACAGGTACCTTTCTTTTGTTCAAGAACCCTGTAGAGAAAGGAAAATCTAGCTCATTAAATACAACATGCCGAGAGATATAGACTCTACCAGTGGGACTTAGACATTTATAGCCCTTGTGATTATTGCTGTAACCAACAAATACACATTTGACAGTTCTGAATTGTAATTTGTGATCATTATACGGTCTTAAGCAAGGGTAGCATGCTGTGCTAAAAATCTTTAGATGTTCATAGTCAGGGATTCTTCCAGTTAGCCTGAATAGAGGAGAAATTCCTCCTAAAACTGGAGTAGGCAAACGGTTTATCAATTCTGTTGCTGTGTGAAAAGATTCCCACCAGTAGAATAGTGGCATCTTGGCTTGAGCTAAGAGAGTTAGACCAGTCTCTACAATATGTCTATGTTTCCTTTCAGCTCTCCCATTCTGTGGAGATGTATGTGGACAAGAATGTCTAAAATGGATACCAGAATCTTGTAAGACCTTGGAAAACTTCCTATATTCACCTCCCCAATCACTTTGAACAATTTTTATTTGGCCATCAAACTGTTTTTCAGCAAAGTTCTTAAACTGAATAAACATAGGCAAAGCTTCATCTTTAGTCTTCAAAGGGAAAATCCAGGAGTATCTGCTATAATCATCAACAAATAATATATAATACCGAAAACCATTCATGGAAACAAGTGGTGAGGGTCCCCAAAGATCAGTGTGTATCATTTCAAGTGGCTTAGAGGCATGTGAAGTGGAAACTTTGAAAGGTAGAGAGTGCATTTTGCCATATTTGCATGATTCACAGAAACTAAGTTCATTTTCATTGGCAAGAGAAACTTTCAGATTACATTCACTGATGATTTTGTTTAAAATTTTGTCACTAGGGTGACCAAGTCTACAATGCCAAAAGGTCCTACTGAAAACTTTAGAACTAGAACTAGATACAGAGTCAACATCTTCTTCAGCTACTAACACCAAGTCTTCTTCATTTCCATTCTTCCTCTGATCCAGAACACGAAACATGCCCTCTCTACTTGGTTGACCCTGCAGCATTGTTTCCCCTGTTGTTTGATCCTTCACAGATACACCATTAGTGTTAAAAATCACATCTGCTTTATTGTCATGAGCTACTTGATACACACTGAGCAAGTTCTTTTTAATATAAGGAGTATAGAGAACCCTACTCAGCTTAACTTTCTGACTAGCAACATTCTGAATAGTAGATGAACCAATTTTCTGTACGGCTAATTTAAAACCATCACCAACAATAATATTCATCTTACCATGAGGATCAGAGGCATTCTCAATCTTATTGAGATCATTTGTCACGTGACTGGTGGCCCCACTATCTAAGTACCAGGAATCGTCATTTACCACTTCAGGGGTAGCCCAGTAAGCACTATCTGGTTCTGTGTAGGTTGTTCTATTCATTTTTCTGCTACCTGAGGGAACAAAGGATCTGTCAAAACGGTAAAAACAATTTTCAACCACATGACCTATTTTTTGACATAGTTGACATTTCGGTGGAGCATAATTATTGTTACTGTTGTTGTTTCTGCCAGGGCCTCGTCCGTTTCTTCCACGACCTCTCCTTCCTCTGTTGCCACGACCTCCACGCCAATCATTTTTGGAAAAGGAGCCTCCATCAGATCTAGGGAAGACATCTTCCATTCTGGCGTAATTAGCAAAATGAGAGGAGCCAAATTGCTGAAGTTGTTCAAGACGACTCTCAAATGTATAAAGCTGGGATTGCATTTCTATCCAGCTTATTTCATCTGCTCTGTTTGATAGCTGCACCACGATTGGATTATAATCTCCATCCAAACCAGCTAGAGCTTGAATAATGAGGTCTGGTAGAGGAACTGGACTCCCGGCCAAGGATAGTTGTTCAGCTAGACTTTTCATTTTGGCAAGATAGTCAGCCATTTTTGTAGAACCCTTCCTGGTTCTTTGAAGTTCAGACCGAAGGAGAAGCAAACGGGACTTAGTTTGAGCTCCAGCAATTTCTTTTGCAGCTCGCCACAGACCAGCAAAAGTAGATACAATGGTCATTTCAGCTGAAATCTCTAAGGTCATTGTGTTAAGCAACCAGCCGAACAAAAGCTGATCAGCTGCCACCCAGTCCTCAAAAGCTGGATTAGTTTTGGTCTCGGTGCCTTCAGTAATGAATTGTGTGGGGCAGCATTTTGTTCCATTGATGAAACCTTCCAGCTTGTGGCCTTTGATGAATGGGAGGACATGTGTGAGCCATAGAGAGTAGTTGAGCCTGTCCAGCTTGACAGAGCAAGATTGGGATAAGGGGCTATTCTTTTTCGGTCAACTTGGAGAGGAGAGACGCTGAGACAATGGAGCTTTCTTCACTGCTTCTTGAACCAGTGACTGGTGATTTAGGGTTACTTGCTTCCTCGGGATTCATTTTGGTGATTAGCCACACAAGGCTCTGATAGCAAGACAAGATTATGGTAGGAATAGAAAATATTTTATTGGGCGCACTGTTCAAGGCCCTATTCTGTTCTATATATAGACAGGGTAAAAACCCTAGATTACATTGTAGTGTGACACGTATACAAAGGAATATACTAGAAGAATGATACAAGGTTCACATTTACAGATCAGGAACATGCTTGAGTGTAATGGGCCTGCGTAATGGGCTTTCTTATTGGACTTCCTGTTATATTCTTAACACTGTGTTACGTTCAAATTGTGTTATTTGATATGGCAGCAGGTGAGGGAAATCCGAGAGAGTAATAATGGCGCAATCCAGGACAATGAAAGAGTCAGCAGATGGAGAAAATTAAAGGAGGGAAAGACAGAATTGTGATGACTCGTATGTATTAATTAATTTGAAATAACGATGCCAAACAAAAATGAGCTCAAAATAAGATTGGAGCTAGAAGCAAGAATTGATTATTGAGATACGGATGGATATGTAAACGAGAGGGGGGGAGACGAGTAGTTCAGTCCAAGGCAGCTATGACGGCATCAACAATGTCTTGGGTGGTGCTGGAACCTCCCAGGTCTTTGGAGCGGTGCTGCCCCTCTAATATTACTGCTTTAACAGCATTCTCCAATCGGTCGGCAAACGCCGGAAACTGCAGATGGCGCAGCATCATTGCGGACGACAGCAGCAGCGCCACCGGGTTGGCCATCTTCTGTTCCACCAGCTTCTCGTTCCCAACATTCCCCGCCGAAGCACCCTGCTCGAACACCGCATGATCCGCCCCAACATTCCCTCCCGGCATCACTCCTGTGCCTCCTGCAATGCCTGCTGCTGTGTTCGCCACTAGATTCCCATACAGATTGGGCGTCACCTGTACAGATTGCCCATTTCATCACAACCATCTGAAATAATTTCTTTCCGAAGAACCAACAAAAGGAAAACCCACATCGTCCAATCCCTCAAACAAAATGAACTGTACGTTGAAACACCACTATATAGGGTCACTAGGTAACCGTAGATGAATCATGTCTGCTTCTTCATGAACTCGCACAAACAAATGGTTGTAACGATGGGGGGGGGGGAATGAATTTACATACCATGACATCGAACTGCTCGGGTTTTGAAACTAGTTGCATGCAACAGTTATCCACAATGATTTCGTTATATAGGATTCCGGGATAATTGCTGGCGACCTCTCTACAGGATTCCAAAAACAAACCGTCCGCGAGCTTCATAATGTTTGCTTTGTGCACAGCAGTCACCTTCTTTCTGTTATTCAGGTAAGCGTACTCGAAAGCATATCTAGCAATGCGCTCTGAACAGAACTTTGTTATTACCTAGAGCAACAAATTAGTATAAAGCGCTAGCATAAACCCTTATCGCCACAATCACAATGACATGAATTAGCGGAAAAATAAAAAGCAGTACACAATGACATTATAAAAAATTTTAATACCAATATATGCATAGAAGTGAGAGGAACTGTGAAAGGCAGACTGTTTGTAATGACATGAACATTTGCATTGTAAATTCTGCTATTAATGGCCATAAATTCAAAGACGTCGTCATTGTTCAGTACAGTCATTCATGATCATCGGCAAATGCAGCGCAGCATTAAATAGAGACAGAGAATCAAAACCTAATAATTATTCAAACCAATGTCTGAGCCACCTAAGATCAAATGAACAAGAAAGAGAAAGGCCGGAAAGACGCTGCGCAGATATATAGCATAACACGCACACTGCACCAAATTAAATAATGCCGTATGGTTTTGTTTTTAAAAGAATACCTTGAGGCTTTCGACAACGCCGGGGACGACCTCGTGCTCCAAACCGGCGTACTCGCCCTCCGTGTTCTCCCTAATCACAACGATATCGACATTCTCATGCCTTGTGGTCAGCCCCGGAAGATTGAAACAATTCACGAGCGAAGCGTACAGATCGAGCTCTCTCCTCAGCTGCACGTTCAACGAGCTCACCCCTCCCCCCATAGGCGTAGCCAAACCGCCCTTCAAGCACACTTTGTTCCTCTTGATCGAATCGATCACCTCCTGTGGCACCCTATTCATGTCCCCTCGCACTTCGTATTTCTCGAAGCATAGGGGCGCGTGCATTGCCTCCATCACTTGCTCGACGGCGCCGGTGACCAGGGGCCCTATGCCATCTCCGGGTATAAGGGTGACCGCGCGTGGAGACCCATCACCGGGCCGGGGCATGTACGTGACAGGGCGCTTGGAGTTGAATCTGCTGGAGCATGAGGCCAGGATGGTTGGAGACTCTAACGATTGCGATCTGGTGATGATTTGTTTAAGGAGAGATGCGCATCTTCTCGCCATTGATGGCAGGCGTAACGAGGTAGCTTGTGAGGGTATTCAGGTTTCAGAGTGGCTTCTTGGGGATCCGAGCTGCCAAGAAAAACGCTCACGCGAAAACTCTGTAGAGAATAATACTGTTTCGTTTCGTTGCTTGTGTTGTGTTCTCCCCGAACCACGCCTTTTTTTAATCAAAAATACTATCTCCTTTAATTAATTAGATATTATCTCCTTGAGCAAAAATTTAACAGAAGCTTTATTTTTAATGAGTTTGGATATATATTATTATTACTACTTTCAATCCTGAATATGACATGAGATATGTAATTAATTTGTGTAGATTAAAAAATGAGTTAAATTTTAGTTTCTAAAATATCTCCATTTATTTACATTATATTGATAAAAACTCTTTAGTATATACTACGTTCAGTCCTTAATATAAAAGCTAATTTGATTTCTAATTTAGAACTAGATAGAAGACCCCCCAATTTACTCTGTCTTTCGTATTTATCTATTTTTTTCAAAGTAGTTCTTATAATAATTGCACATATTAAATTAATGTTTTATCAAATGGTAGTTTTAGCTAATATATATTATTAGTAAGAATATTTTGAAAAAAATAACGCCTATTTATTACAAATAATAAACTTAATTTTTATATTAAGGAATATAAACATTATCATACTTCTTAGAGATGTATAACTCTTCTACGAAACTCTTCTTTACATTTTCATGTATTTATACCCATGACTTTAAGCTTAAATACGTTATATTTGTGGTGGGAAAAACTCTAGGGCGCAGTTAATCTACCCCCTTGTACCTTCTATTATAAGTCACACTCAACAAAAGTTCCATATACAGGTTAGAATATAAGTTATTGTTTCACAAAATTTTGTATAGCAGTAATGAATTTATTTTAAAAATGTCTTCTTATCGAAGTTTAATAATGAATAAATATATATATTGTTGGCAAAAAATAATGAATAAATATATGTTTTTCAAATTTACAATACTATTGAAGATGAAAATAAAAAATAATTGCTTGCATAATTTAACTAATTTTTTAGATTTCGATAAGAGAATTAAAAAGTTTTTTTCCCCAGCAGAATTAAAAATGACCTATGGTAAGGCATATATGTAAAGTGTCACTTGAAACATTCCCAATTTTTATTTTTTAGATTTAAGTAATATTAGTAATGAATTATTTCATGATAAGTGGAATTTAAGGTATAATTATTCAAGTAGTTAAAATGCATTCAAAATAAGTTAAATAATAAGAATATAAATATGACATTAAGTGAAGACTTTTAGAAAAGGGATAGAAAATAATGAAATTAAGTAAAATAGATAAATTATTTTTCACTTGAAAATTTTAATTTTCTGTATATTATTTATCAGTTAAGTTGAAGCTTCTGGATTTTATAAGAAACTTTAGTAATTAAAAACTCAAGATTTAGAAGTAAAAAAATTATAAAACTTGGATCACATCTATACAAGTTTAAGTTGAGATCTTACTTGGGGCAAAAAAAAAAAAAAAAGGAGAAAAAGATACTTTTACAGACACCATGATCAAACTTGATAAATTGATGATTGTGAACTCGTTATATTGTTGGGTTAGAGTAAAATTTGATCAGCCATTTCGAAGCACCCAGCTCATCTCTCTCTCTCAAATGTTGTAACAGTCAATTTTGTGTAAATTATTGGTGCATATGGACTTTTATTTTAATTTAAATCTTTAAAATAAATGTCGATAACTTTTTAATGGTACAGACATTTATGAATATGTCTGTGTTTTTTCTTTACTGGTACTATGAATGCTGCGTTGACAGTTATAAATTGCAATTGACATAGAAATTTAGAAAAAAAATAAATATGTTGTAAAACTACAAGAAATAAGGAGAATGAAGAGTAGAAAAGAAAGCAAGAGATAGAGAAGACAATGGCATTTTCTCATTCACTTTGGTTCAAGGTACAAATGCCTCATGTATGCCCTCTATTTATAGGCCTCCAAGCATTGAAGTCCTATACTAAGGTTACAAAGGAATAAAGAACATCATAATAGCATTAACAATAAGAAACTCCTCCCAAAAACATTCATTAGGGAGGTTATGTAGTTTATGACACTTGAAGGTGAGGAATCCTATGAGAATTCTAAGGGTTAGGGGTTATGGACATCCACTCATGCAATATTCATAACACTCCCCCTTGGATGTCCATAATGAGTATTGTGCCTCATTAAAACCTTACTAGGAAAAACCCATTGGGACAAAAACCCAGTGAAGGAAAAAGAGTACACAATATTTACTCCCCCTAATGATAACATCATTTTAAGTCTTTAAGCCTGCGCATTCCAATACCATACACTAACTTCTCTAATGTTCTAGTCGGCAGTGTCTTGGTAAACAAATCAGCAAGGTTGTCACATGAGCGAATTTGTTGAACATCTATATCACCACTTTTCAAAAGATCATGAGTGAAAAAGAACTTTGGAGAAATATGTTTTGTTCTGTCTCCTTTGATATATCCTCCATTTAATTGAGCTATGCATGCTGTATTGTCTTCATATAATACTGTTGGAATCTTCTGTTCAAGGGAAAAACCACACATTTTTTGAATATGTTGAGTCACTGACCTCAGCCAAACGCATTCTCGACTTGCCTCATGAATTGCAATTATTTCCGCATGATTTGATGAGGTAGCTGATAAAGTTTGTTTTGTTGAACGCCATGAGATCGCTGTACCTCCACAAATAAATAAATATCCTGTTTGAGACTTGCCTTTATGTGGATCTGATAGAAATCCTGCATCTGCATAGCCAATTAATTGTGATTCTGATTCATTAGAGTAAAATAATCCCATATCAATTGTCCCTCGAAGATATCGAAATATATGCTTAATTCCATTCCAATGCCTTCTTGTTGGGAAAGAACTAAATCTTGCCAATAAACTAACAGCAAATGCAATATCAGGTCGTGTTGAATTAGCAAGATACATTAATGCACCTATGGCACTGAGATATGGTACTTCAGGACCAAGAAGTTCTTCCTCATCTTCTTGAGGACGAAAAGGATCTTTATCCTTATCCAGTGATCTTACAACCATAGGAGTAGATAACGGATGTGCCTTATCCATGTAAAATCGCTTTAATACTTTTTCAATATAAGTTGATTGATGGAGGAAAATTCCATTTGCCAAGTGCTCAATTTGCAAGCCAAGGCAAAACTTTGTTCTTCCAAGATCTTTCATTTCAAATTCTTTCTTTAAACAATCAACTGCTTTTTGAAGCTCTTCAGGAGTTCCAATTATATTTAAATCATCCACATAGACAGCAATTATAACAAACTCTGATCCATTTCTTTTTATAAAAACACATGGGCAAATTGGATCATTTTTATAACCTTCTCTCAACAAATATTCACTAAGTCGGTTATACCACATTCTTCCAGATTGTTTTAATCCATATAAGGATTTATGCAAACGAATTGCATAATTTTCTCGAGAATTCTTACATGCCTCTGGCAATTTAAATCCTTCAGGGATTTTCATATAAATCTCAGTATCTAAAGAACCATATAAATATGCCGTAACAACATCCATTAAACGCATTTCAAGTTTTCTATGGACTGCCAAACTAATTATATATCTTAAAGTGATTGCATCCACCACAGGAGAATATGTCTCTTCATAATCAATACCAGGTCTTTGTGAAAATCCTTGTGCTACAAGCCGTGCTTTATATCTAACAATCTCATTTTTCTCATTTCGTTTGCGCACGAAGACCCATCTGTATCCAACTGGTTTCACACCATTTGGTATATGGACTACAGGTCCAAAAACTTCACGCTTTGAAAGTGAATTTAACTCTGCTTGAATTGCATCTTTCCATTTTGGCCAATCATCTCTATGTCTACATTCTTCAACTGATGTAGGTTCAAGATCCTCATGTTGATTAATTATTTCAACAGCAACATTATATGAAAAAATATTGTCAACAACTGTGTTCTCTCGGTTCCATCTTTTTCCTGTAGTAACATAACTTATTGAGATCTCTTCATTATTTTCAGGTACCTGAGCCTCCTCTGAGGTCTTTTGATTAGTTATGTTTCGGTCCTCTCCTATAGGACTTGCCTCCTAATTTGACTATCATGACCATCATGATTATTTGCTCCTTTTTTCTTTCTAGGAGTTTTATCTTTGGAACCGATTGGTCTACCCCGCTTCAGGCGTGGTTTGGTTTCACTTGCGCTTTCTAGTTGTCCTGCTGGGACATCAATTCTAATTGGAGCATTTTCAGCTGGAATGTGAGATTTAGTAATTCTCTTAGGATCAGTGAATGCATTTGGCAGTTGATTTGCAATATTTTGCAAATGAATTATTCTTTGAACTTCAAGTTCACATTGTTGTGTACGAGGATCTAGATGAGATAATGATAATGCTTTCCATATGATTTCTTTATCCAGCTGCTTATTATCTCCCCCTAATATTGGAAAAATTGTCTCATCAAAATGACAATCGTCAAAACGTGCTGTAAACAAATCTCCTGTTAATGGTTCTAAATACTTAATTATAGAAGGAGATTCATAGCCAACATATATCCCTAACCTTCTTTGAGGTCCCATCTTTGTGCGTTGTGGTGGAGCAATAGGGACAAATACCGCACATCCAAAAATTCTAAGATGGGAAATATTTGGCTCTCGACCAAAAGTCAATTGTAACGGGGAGAATTCATGATAACTTGTTGGCCTGATGCGTATAATTGCTGCTGCATGCAGAATTGCATGTCCCCAAGCTGAAATAGGAAGTTTTGTTCTCAAAAGCATTGGTCTAGCAATCAATTGGAGGCGTTTAATAAATGACTCTGCTAGGCCATTTTGAGTGTGGACATAAGCAACAGATTTTTCTACTGTTATTCCAGTTGCCATGCAATAATCATTAAAAACTTGAGATGAAAACTCACTAGCGTTATCAAGACGAATTGTCTTAATTGCATGGTCTGGAAATTGTGCTCTTAATCGAATTATTTGAGCAAGTAATCTAGCAAATGCTAAATTACGTGTTGATAACAAACACACATGGGACCATCTTGTAGATGCATCTATTAAAACCATAAAATATTTGAATGGTCCACATGGTGGATGGATAGGTCCACATATATCTCCTTGGATACGCTCTAGAAATGCAGGAGATTCAACTCCTATTTTTGTCAATGAAGGCCTTACAATTAATTTGCCTTGAGAACAAGCAGCACATGAAAATTCTTTAAATTGAAGAATCTTCTGGCTCTTCAATGGGTGTCCATGTGAATTTTCAATAATTCTTCGCATCATAGTTGATCCGGGATGGCCTAACCGATCATGCCAAACAATAAACGTATCTTTATCAGTAAACTTCTGGTTTACCGTAGCATTTGTTTCAATTGTACTAATATTTGTATAGTACAAACCAGAAGATAATGTCGGTAATTCTTCCATGACATATTTTTCTCCATTTCTTACCATTGTAACATGCAAATATTCAATGTTCTTCTCATTTATAGTCTCAATATGATATCCATTTTGGCGAATATCTTTAAAACTTAATAAATTTCTTTGAGACTTCGAGGAATATAAAGCATCATTAATAACAAATTTTGTTCCTCTGGGTAATATTATAATTGCTCTTCCGGAGCCTTCAATTAGTTTTGTATTACCCGCTATAGTATTGACGCTTGCACTATTTATCGTAAGATGAGAAAAATATTTTCTATCTTTGAGTATGGTGTGTGTTGTAGCACTATCTATCAGGCATATATCTTCATTCTTGTGCCCAACAAAAGGAAGAGAAACATCCATATTCTTCACCGAAAAAAAAAAAATTCATTAATATAAATTCGAAGTACATCATGATTAATAATACTCTTAAAAAAAAGAGAAATAAATAAACATAAACTAAATTAAAAAGCATAAATAAAGCAAACTAAAATTATCCAAATTCTTCTAATCATGATTCTCAAAGAAATCAGCCACATCCAAATGTGCCATAGCATCAAGGCCATTAACATCATCTAGCTCATTGATATTATCATTTTTGTATGCAAAATTTGCCTCCACATCATCACTTTGAAAAGTCAAATTTGCTTCCACATTATTTGAACTTCTTTTTATAGAAGCCTGATAAAGTTTTGCTAGATGCTCAGGCGTACGACAGGTACGTGACCAATGTCCTTTCATGCCACACCGGTAACATTGATTTTCAACAACTCTTGAAGGGCCATTCTTATCTTTTTTCTGCCCATCCCCAAGTTTCTTCTTTTGGTGGGTATTTGGGTTATAATTGTTGCTTCCCCCACCATAATGACGGTAATTTGTGCGTCCCCTACCACGACCACGGTCTCGGCCACGACCACGACCACGACCACGACCGCGTCCACGTGTATGATGATTATTGCGTACAGTCACATTCGCTTCAGGGAATGGAGCTGATCCAGTGGGACGGATCTCATGATTTTTCATTAATAGCTCGTTATTTTGTTCAGCCACAAGAAGACATGAGATCAATTCAGAATATTTCTTAAAACCCTTTTCACGATATTGCTGCTGCAGGAGCACATTTGAAGCATGAAAAGTTGAAAATGTTTTTTCTAATAAGTCCTCATCTGTTATTTTCTCACCACATAATTTCAATTGAGAACTTATCTTGAAAACTGCTGAATTATATTCAGTCACAGATTTAAAATCTTGGAGCCTCAAATGCATCCATTCATAACGAGCTTTAGGCAAAATTACCGTTTTTTGATGATCATACCTTTCTTTTAAATTATTCCACAATTCTAACGGGTCTTTTACCGTCAGGTATTCAGCTTTCAACCCTTCATGCAAATGGTGGCGTAGGAAAATCATAGCCTTAGCCTTGTCTTGGCTAGTTGCTTCATTTCCAGGTAAAATAGTACTTCCTAGACCTTTGGCATCTAGGTGGATTTCAGCATCTAAGACCCAAGACAAATAGTTTTTTCCAGTGATATCAAGAGCCGTAAACTCGAGTTTGGTAAGATTGGCCATGGATCAAACTAAAATGATAATAACAAAAATTAGAATTATAATAAAATTGATGCACACTGAAACACAATAAATAAAATATTAGGATTCAAAAGTCACCCATAAATAAATTATTCTTTAAAATTATAAACAAAATAAATGAATAAATAAACAATGACAAATAAACATATATGAGGGGAAAAAAAAAAACAACACAAATAATTAGTTACAATAATAATATAGAGACAATGTATATATAAATATATATAGGGGGAAGGGGGTAATGTAAATGCGGTAATATAAATAAATATATAAATATTACAATAGACTAACTAATATATAATAAAAATTAAACTAAAAATAAAAATAAAAATAATGCTACAGTGAGATAAACGAAATAAATATAAATTGATAAATAATGAATAAACAACATATAAATTATTAGGCCTTATTATAAATAAATTATATAAACAACATATATAAACAACATAAATAAGAACGAACAAATAGAATGATAGGAAAAAAAATATATATATATAAACAGTGTAAATTATATATATATATGAGAGTTAGTGCAATATAGATAAAACAACAGTAAATATATATATATATATATATATATGTATATAAGGGTTAGTACAATATAGATAAAACAACATGGGACACTGTAAATTATATGTATATGAGAGTTAGTACAACACAGATAAAATAATGTAAAATACCATAGATACCAAATGGAGATGATACATAAATTACATCAATTATTTGAAACAAACATAATATTTTACAATGTGACAACAAAAATAAAATGACTTAAAATAAAACAGAATGTTAACATAAAATAAATATATATATAACATAATGAAAAAAAATTAAAATGTAAAGAAAAGAACAATAGAGTAACATTATATAATATAAAACATGATAATTAAGAAAGGAGATAATATAAAGTTAATATGTAGTCAATACATAGATATATATTGTGATGATTGAGTAAGGAGATAATTAGACGATGAGAAGAGTGCATCATCTTACGAAGGGTTTATACCTCAAATTTTCAGAGCAAGGTCGTGCTGATAACGTGTTGTAAAACTACAAGAAATAAGGAGAATGAAGAGTAGAAAAGAAAGCAAGAGATAGAGAAGACAATGGCCTTTTCTCATTCACTTTGGTTCAAGGTACAAATGCCTCATGTATGCCCTCTATTTATAGGCCTCCAAGCATTGAAGTCCTATACTAAGGTTACAAAGGAATAAAGAACATCATAATAGCATTAACAATAAGAAACTCCTCCCAAAAACATTCATTAGGGAGGTTATGTAGTTTATGACACTTGAAGGTGAGGAATCCTATGAGAATTCTAAGGGTTAGGGGTTATGGATATCCACTCATGCAATATTCATAACAAAATATTTATTTCAAAAAGAGAGAGAGAGAAAGATTTAGGGAATAACCCGAACCTAAGCCCATATTCATGAGGCTATTAAGAGTTGGATTTAAAATTAAAAGTAAATTCTAAAAGAGATCAGATCTAAGTAGTGAACTCCACGTGCGTCCGCATTGCCGCAAGCCGGCCGGATTCTGACAAGTGACAAGGGCCACCCTTCCCTTCCTTATAGACTACATACATTATGAATGCATGGGCGCTTTGATTGATTCATGGAATGATTGAAGCATGATTGCATAATGAGACAACCATTTCGACTAAAAAGGTTGCACTTTTTAACTAAGGACTAACTCTGATAGAATATATTTTATTGAATAAATTAATAATTATTCTCAAGACAAGGATATAATAAAGTATAATATCACATTGTTTACAAGCCTCAACTGACCAGTAAAAAGTAATTATGTCATTAAGGTAATCACACACATATATTATTTCGATCTCCCCATGAGAATTGAAGAAAAATACTCTTCCAGTTCTAGATATAAAATCTATTGTATAATACAAATCTGATATGATCTCAACAGTTTCCTCGTCTAAAATTTAAATTATTTTTGCAAGAGTTTGTGAAATCGATATTATTCCTCTCGTCCTATAAAACGTACTAAAATAATTTAAATTTGAGATGAGAAAACTGTTGAGGTCATATCAGAGAGCACAGAGCAGAGAAGGAGTATTTTGGCTTTCGACGACAGATGGTGACTCATGTCATGTCTCTGCCCGCTTACACGTCCAAATACAGCCACCTCCCCTTCCCCTTCTCTGCTCATTCTGAACCCATTCCCAAATTATTAAAGTACAGCACTTGCGATCACTCCAATTGCGGTGACTCCTCAGCACAGCACTTCCCATTAAATCAATATTTATGCCTTCTCATTCCCTTTCTTTTAATCATCACCTTGGATTCCTCCTCTCATACCGGCACTTGTCATTCATAAATGTTCGTCATTAATCAGTTCTTGATCTAAGGTCACAAATACATAGAATGAGCCCACTTATTGTGTATGGCGGAATTAGTTTTACTAGTTATCACAATGATAAGTATCATGATACCTATCGTTGTTGTGGAATTAAACAATTCAAATACAATTTTATTGGTTTAAATTTAAAAGTTTTGATGTAAAAAACTTACCATTAAAAAATTATATTTATTTTGCATCCATTAAAGAAAAATAATTTTAAAAAAAATCAAATATTAAATCTCGACCATTTATATTAAATTTAAATTGTTGAGATTTAACGAGTATCATGATGCTTATCAATGTGATCAGGACTGAGACCCGTTCTTATGTTTGGCTCCATTGCATCATATACATAGAATTGCCTCCCCTGCCCTCCCCGATGACAATCATATTCCTTTCATGGAAGCCAACATTATTCCCATCGTTTTAGCCTCAGACCCACCCAAGGCCAATCCCTTCCGTGATAGTCAAATTCTTTACATAATTATCTTTGTCTCAGCCTTTCCTTGCAGCCTCTGACGGTGACTCCTTTAATTTCTTGCAGACAAGTCAGGCTTAAAACTGCGCGAATGACTCATCATCCTGTTTATATATGAATTACTTGGCCTTGTAAAACAACTAACCATGTCTCTCACACATCCACCCCAAATAAAAAATCAGAGTTCTGGATGCTCCATTCTTGTCATGTTCATCAAAACGTGTTCACAACGGATGCCGGCATATGACAACTCTGTATCAATCTACATACCATATCATGGTATAAACTGTGAATAATTCAAATATGGTAACACGGTAGATTTAGTTATTATCAAACTTTAATTTAAAGAATCAGAACTTCGATGTTTCAAGTTTCGCGGATTAGACGCTTTATTCCGAAATCTGGCAGCTCTGTCTCTGCGATTATTGGAATAGCAGAGAGAAACAAAGCCAGACGAGGAGTTAAATTTTATCCATCTGCGTACTATTTTTCTGACCTCCCCTCTATACAGAATGGCGTCCATCTGATCACACGACATTTCTTCAAACGAAATTAGGGGAAAAAAATGTTATGGGAAAATCATAAAAGTCTAGTATTCATTACAAACTACCATAAAAATGACCCAAACCGAAGAACTATACTACCATATCAGAAGAATAATGCAATCGATTACAACTCGCGTATGCAAATCTCACCGTACATGTCGTCAGAGTAAACATTCCAGTTCCCAACTAAAGGGTATTTCATCGTTCAAAACAATAAATAATACTCCCACAACTAAACGATATATTTACGATGATGATATTATATTATGCCGCTTCAGATTTTGTCATGTTTCGTCCCCCGACTCAACATTTAACATCTAAAAAGTGGATGCCCAGGCGCAGCCTCAGCGTCACCCGGAAGGACCCTGAACCATTCATAGTGACACTTTTATTACTCACTCCTATATTTAATACAAAGACTCATTTAATTTTTATTTTGAACCTAAATATAAAAACTCAATCTAATTATTTTGTTTTTTTATATTTATTCATATTTTTTCAATACTATCTTCGATTCTAATTATAAGAGCTAGTTGACTAATTTGAGAAGATTAAGAAAATAAGTTAAGTTAGTTATTTGTAATAAGTATGTGTTGTCTTTCCTAAAATATCATTGCTAATTAAGTGTATTGGTTATAACTACTATTATTAGGAGGACTATTTTGGAAAAAAATACATAAATATGAGAGACAAAATGGGTTGGGGTTTTATATTTAGGATCAAAATAAAAGTCAAACAAGATCTTATATTAAGGACCGGAGGTAGTATAATCTTTTTAATAATAATAGTTCTAATTAATTACTTGATTAGTAAGAATATTTTAGAAAAGATAATACTTATTTATTATAAATATCTAATTTAATTTATTTTTTAACCTATTTAAATTAGTTAAGTAGTGATATTTTCTTTGTTCATGGACAGTCTTGCCTTTTTATCTCTCCCTGTTATTCTCTCTTTCTCTCAAACGGCTGCAAACGCAGCACCGCGCCACTTGCTCCGCCCCACACCACCACTTCTCTTCTTCCTTTCTCCTTCTTCCTCCTTCTCACCACCGACAATTCCCCCACCTCAACTTCTTCTACGTGACCGTTCCTTTCATCTTTCTCCCCGTCTGCTTGCATGGCTTGTATGAGCGACGACAGCTGGGTTTCTCTCCCCTCCATGTTAGCAGGGCCTCTGCCTCTCGGTGCCCGAGAGCTCCAAAACAAAACTGACGAACCCAACAACTTCCGCTTCTTGTCTTCGGCTTATCGGTTGGAGAGAGTCTTTCCCGTATATGCTATGGGGACTCCCAACCCGGATTCTGACTCTGTTCTGGCCTCTTCATTTGATGACTCAGGTGGGGCTGACCCGATTTGGGACGCCGTCAGACAAGAAGCTAAGCTGGAGGTGCGCTAAAACTGGGCATTTGTGCTTGCCTCTTCTTCTGCTTCACTCCTATTTGTTGGTTGCATTTTCCTATTCATCTGTTCCACTGAAAAGTAGCTTTGGAATCGGAGGATTTTCTTGGACGTTTCACTACGTAATTCCATTTGGTTTTAAGATTTTACCTTGCATCTCATCGGGGGAAAACAAAAAAAAAAAATGTTGCGTAACGTCTTAACGCTCGAAGGAATCACCCGCATAAGAGGGCGCGATTTTAGTGGCGTTCAATCTAGAACTCCTGGTACGACAAGTTGATAAGCATACGAATTACTTCTAGTCCTCTAAGCACTTGTAATGTACTTCTAATCTAGAGCAACTCACGCAGTACGAGTTGTTCGAAATATGTTAAACGTCTATTTTGTCACGTATATTGTCCTATATATATACTTGGGAGTAGGCACCATCTCGAGTATTTTTCTTTTTTTTGGGGAGGAAGACCGGTCGATTGTAATCCTTATACATTGTTTATTTGAAATATTGGAATGTTCATAAATTCCCTGTATGCATTTGTTTTGATCAAATATGTATAGGTGGATGCTTCGTTTGGCATGTTTGGTGAGCCTCGGAGTATCTTTGTCTTTATGCATGCTTATTAGCATATATATTGTGCAGGCAGAAAAGGAGCCAATTTTAAGTAGCTTTTTGTATGCCAGTGTTTTATCTCATGATTGCTTGGAGCAAGCCTTAGCCTTCGTTGTTGCCAATCGTCTCCAAAATCCTACTCTTTTGGCAACTCAGTTGACAGATATATTTTGTGATGTGATGATGCATGATAAAGGCATCCAAAGATCAATTCGCCTGGATGTGCAGGTATTTTTGTGTCACTTTTCTGAGGTTTGCCTACACATAAATGTGGACTTTATCTCAATCAAATTCGATTCACGTGTGGTTCCAATCCTTCTACAGGCATTTAAAGACCGGGATCCTGCTTGTTTATCATATTGCTCTGCACTTTTATATATGAAGGTAAATCTTTCTGCTTTTGATAGTTATCATCAGTATATAGATATGTATGGTTTTACTGTGTAATTATTGATTTCAAGTCAGAGTATATACATTTACAAGGTGCAACTAACAAAGCTGCAAATTTGTTTCATGAGACAAATATTGATTTTCTTTCTTTCTTCCTTTCTTTCTTTTTTTATTGTTTTTGGTAAAATGAAGAACCATTTCCTGCTTATTCTCGGGACTCACTCTTGACCTTTTATGTTATGCTCTAACAGGGCTACCATGCTCTGCAAGTTCATCGAGTAGCCCATGCATTGTGGGGCGAGGGACGCCAAGTCTTGGCCTCAGCTTTGCAAAGTCGTGCCAGTGAGGTGGTTTTCTATTTCACTGAAACTAGCACAACATGTATAAGGTTGTTTCATATTTCTGTCTCTGATCCAGGATGCCATATTTTGGCTGCAGGTTTTCGGAGTAGACATACATCCTGGTAGGCTGATTTCATTTTTGCGGGGACATACTTGATGACCTAAAACCATGTAACCTAATGAGATTCCTTCAATGTTTTGGGAGAATAATATATCTTGCTGGAATCTTTGCACTGAATTTTAACCGAATCTTGGGGAAAACAGAATCATGTTGTGATTGCAAAGTACCAGCCTTTTTTTGTAAACAAAAGAGAGATGTTATGAAATAGAGTTTTGTTCCCTTAGTGATATAAATGAATGGATTTCCTCCATTTTTTATTTAGTTAGACTGCTGATTACTCGAGTTATGTGTTGAAGGGTGCTTGCATCTCTTTATTCAAGATATTAAAACACTTTGTATATTGTTATTGTCGCTATTTACCTTTTTCTGGTTTTCTATATAGCTGCAAAAATTGGGGAGGGAATTCTATTAGATCATGGGACAGGCATGGTTATTGGTGAAACTGCAATCGTTGGAAACAGAGTTTCATTGATGCATGTGAGTGCTTCTTTAGTTTAAGAATAATTTCAGCTAGTTTTTATGCAGACGTCAATTATCTTTAGTAAATTAGCGTTGACCCAATCTCTTGAAATATGTCAAGATTTCTTGTGCTGATAGAAGAGGAAAAGATGAGTTTCTTAAGAGCTAGAAAAGTATTTGGAATTTGGTTTCATCGATAGAAATGGTTCTATAACACAAGATATTCATTATGCTCACTTTATGACATTCTATTTTATAGGGTGTTACTTTGGGAGGTTCAGGGAAGGAAATAGGTGATCGTCACCCCAAAATTGGTGATGGTGCACTAATTGGAGCTTGTGCAACTATACTTGGGAACATAAGAATTGGTAAAGGTGCAATGGTAGCTGCAGGCTCTCTTGTGTTAAAAGAGGTCCCTCCCCATAGGTATAAATTAATTCCTTTTAAAATGATGTTTGGTACTTGCAAGCTTGCGGCTATTGGCTTCTGTCTGAATTGTTTGGTAATAAGAAGTGTTTTCAATTTGATTCCCTTTTTTGGAAGCATGGTGGCAGGAATACCAGCAAATGCCATTGGATATCTACATGAGCATGACCCATCTTTAAGCATGAAACATGGTAAGTTACCTTTGAATGAATGAGTGGAATGGAAAATGAATATTGGGAGTAATATGGTTGTGGTTAACAATTCGTAAATCAAGAATTAAGCAATCAATTAAGGCTTAAATTAGGGATGTTCTTCATCATTATTCCTTCCTTGGTTGTAGAGTTTCCAGAGGGCCTAGTCATGGGATTATATATTAGTTTTCTTACTCCCTCTCTTCTCCTCATTTCTATCTATTTCCCTTTATTTCATTCCCTCTTCCATATTGTTTCTGCGTCAAGGGGTGTCAAAGCTTAACTCCAATCCATGCTACTGTTGTCTTAGGGTTCTCAGAGTTGTTGAGTCGCTGAAAACTGGCAAACATCGTTGTTTATGCTAGTTTCATCACCCGAGAACACCAGAGACTAGAAAGTAACCATACCATGAGCAGCACCATCCCTAGATCAGTCTAATAGTAGAATCCCCTAGATTGCCCATTTAGCATCCATGAACCATAATGATTGTGAATTATGCTTTTGTTATCATTTTTTCCATAATGGCACTGTTTCAAATTGGACCTTTTTTATTTTTCCCACACTTCAAACCTTTGAGGTCGATTTTTTTTTCAACGAGCAAATACTGGTGTCTAGTAGGAAGAGTGCCTTTGGAGTAACATGGGTCAGTGGCATGAGTAGCTTTTTGTCCATAAAAAATTTAGCCATCAATTAAGGCTTAAATTTGAGTACTCTCGGTTGCTAGTTTCTTTTACAGTGTATTTGGTTGGAGAGATTTAGAGGGGAGGGATTCCCTTATTTGGTTAAACAAGGTGAAGGGAAGCCCTTGTTTGGATTTAAAAAAAAAAAAAACTCTCGAAGGGGAGGGGAATGAAGAATGAAGTTTCCCTCCCCTCCAAAAGGCATAAAGCAATTGAATGAAATTTTCTCCCTCTCCTCTTTTATTATATTTTTCCCCTTTCTCGTGTTGGTTCTATATCAGCAAGCTTTTACTTTGAGAAATTCACCTCATCTCATCAGTGAGCTGCTTGGACCAAAAGGTCCAATAGATTTAAAAACTAAGTTCTAATTTTATCAGACATATGGTAAACTAGAATCCTCTCTAAACTATATAGAACACTTGTCGGTAGTAAATTTGAGTATCCTCCTCTGGTGCTCTAACAATGTTTTGTGTTCTCAAGGTAGCTTTTACGAGAGGAGTTGATGGATAATTAATTTTCTTTGTACGTGTGTTCTTTATATCTCTCACGTCATTTTGTTGTTGTAATTGTGCAGATGCCACAAAAGATTATTTCGAGCACATAGCTGCTAGGGGTGTGCATGAAGCCCAAATGCCCGCAGAGCCCGCCCGAGCCCGAAGAAAAATTGCCCAGCCCAGCCCGAAAAAGAATGGGCATCTTTGGGCTGGGCATTTCATGGGCAGGGCTGGGCATCGGGCAGGACATGCTGCCCTGCCCATTTGGCCCTGCCCAGATTATATATATTATAATTTATAAAATAATATTAATATATTACATTTTTTTACCTAAAAAAAAGTTATCTCCCTCGTCTTTGCAATTTAACTTATTATTATTCCATGTCTATTAGTTTTCTATTTTAGGGGATCTAATTCTTCTAAAGAAGCAGTAGTATCTTGTTTTTAACTTGTTCTTCATGAGCTTTATTGTGCATATCCTATTGTTTGTTGTTGTTGTAGTGTTGGCTATTTATAAGCCAATCTTCCCCTCTATGTCATTAACAACTTTCTTTGTTAGAGAATGGAGTTCATACATTACATATTTGTATAAATAAACAATTTTGAATATTTATGCAAGATAGAAAACAAGATTGGGGTAGGAGCATGGAAAGAAAATTGGGGTTTAATTATCTGAATTACATGTTTTCTATTTAATTTATATTTAGTTATTTTGTATTAATTTTTTATGAACAAGTCATATGATAGAAAGAAGTCTTTTAGTTGTATGGACTGCTAACTGCATTGTATCGCATAATAAGTATTTACATATTAAAAGTCGTTATATTAAATTATTATGAGATTATAAGATTTTTTATTTTTCTTTTTACAATTATTTTCACCCCATTTTTATATGGTCTATGTTATTCCTGTTAGCCTATTGCTTCAGTTTTAATATCTTTTTGCAATCCTTTAGGTAACATTTAATTTTTGCCACTTAAATGGATAATCAAGTTTCTATTACATCGCCATCCCTGGCTCCCAATGGAATATCTCAATGTGCTTCAACCCCTCTTCAATTTTTTTCAGATGTTTTATTCTTTTCTCAACTTTCTGGAGATTAATGCAAACCGTTTGAATTTCAAGACTTTAATTACAATCTTGAGAGTTGTTTTGTTCTAAATAGATTATGAATATTATTTATTTGGATATTTCCTAAGACTTGTTTTGAATTATTTTTGGATAATTTTAATGTGTAAAAATATAAAATTATGAAATGTAATTTTCAGGTATGGATGAAAGTTTTTTTACATGTGATATCGGTAGGTCATCACCATTTGGACAGCAAAGCCCGCCCTGCCCAGCCCGTCCATGCCCAGCCCAAAATGGTTAGGGCTTCTATGGGCAGGGCCGGGCAGCGGGCTGCAAAATGCAGCCCGTTCATGTTTCGGGCTGGGCATCGGGCAAGGGTTCTGCCCTGTCCAGCCCTGCCCATGTGCACCCCTAATAGCTGCTAACTCCAGAGATGGAAAGTCTACTGGTTAGCTATCTTCACCGCCTTCCCTTTTGGATTCAGAAAGTTTACTAGGACTCGGAAACTTGAATTCTTGGCTTATAACCCGATCCACTCATAATATTCTCGGTGATTCTTTTCCGTTGTCCAAATCATTATCTGCCCAGCCCTTGATGATTTGATTTGAATGGATCAAAAATTTTCAGGAGCTCAGGATTCAGGTAGAAATGACGTTAGTACCTGAGTGGTTTGGTAGCATAGATCTCATTTGCCGATTCAAGTGCCAGCTTATTGCCTTGGAAGGGAGGACATTAGTTTCAAATCATAACAAAGATTCCTAATGTCAATTGGCAATGTCACCTTTGGTCCTAAATACAAGACCTATTTTGTAGTGTAATTTTACACTATAAAATAGGTCTTATGTTTAGAACTAGAAGGAGTATAATGTAAATTATGTTTGTTAAGATGCCAAAGTCCTTGCACCAACAGAACTAATATCCGTAGTGGAGACTTATCCGCCTCTTTTCCTCTCCGATGATCCGAGGAAAGATATCAAGTTCACCAATCCAATAAAGCCGTTCAGTCATTTTGAAAGCAAGTCTTGTGTGGACATTTTCTGTTGAATTTGAATGTGATACCCCATAGATGGCATGTAATGACGGAGTTTTTAATCAAGTAATTTTTAGTGTAAATTATTAAAAGGAATGCTTCAAGAAAAGTAACTCTTTTTTTTTTTTTTTAACAAGTAACTAATTCAATTATTTTTAAAATTTTTATGAATTAGTTATTTAGTTTTTATATTTGAGAGAATATATATTATATTGGACTTGTCGATTTCTTTTCTTAGAATTTAGAGATGGATTGTTGCTTCTTATTTTATACTAGCTCTTATACTAAGGGTCGAAAGTATTATAAAGTTTAATTGAGTCATATTATTTAGAATTTTTGAATGATACAATGAGTTTGTTTTTAGAGAGAATCCCAAAAAAATATCTTTGAATTTTAAAATTATAAATCAGTCTTATTTATTACATTCTAATAATAATAGATAACATTTGAAAAACAAATAACAATATATTATTGTAGTCATTCTTGATTTGAGATTTTAAAATTTTAGAGGTTTTTTTTTTTGGATTTTTCCTTGTTTTTAATGAGAACATTATTTATGAAAAAATTTATAATTTTTTAAAAATAATTAAAATGCAAAAAATATTTCTAGTTATTCTGAAAATCTACTTTAGGTAACTCTTGAAAATGATCAAATATATGAAAAAGAATGTTTATAAAAATAACTAAATATTAATTTAAATAAAATCCGAAAACCAATGAATATAAATATTTTTTTTTATAATTGCAACTAAATATAAGATGATTTCTTTTATAAAATCCATACACAAAATTACTTTTTCATTAAATTAAACCTGGAATAAACAGTTTCCTGTAAAAAGTAACATATCCAACGGCTGGGATCGCCGCACTTCGGCGCACTTCATCATTCCTGTCCCTCGGACGATCCAAACGCGAAAATAACTACCGGAATGGCCGGATTATGTCCAAAGCACGATTAACAGATACAGAAGCGCGGGGATCACAGTCCAGAAGTCCAAATCCAGACGCATGCTCGGATGAAATGCGCAAACACTGATGCACTCTTGGAGACGGCAGCGTTTCTCTTTTTATTTCTCGCGCTTGAGCTGTGGTTTTAGTCTGTTAGATCCAGCCCTTCACCGGCGATCTCACCTGACCTCCCCCATTTCTCCACGATTCACTCTCCCTGTAACAGCATCTCCCGTTTGAATCGACTTGGTAGTGCATAATTGATTAACACTCGGTTTCGTAGCTCAGCTTCCCCACACCTTGGCTGCAGAATTACCAGGTACTGTGAGTTGTGATGTCTCTGTTCTTCAATGTGCCTCCTAATTGATATTCTTACTGGGCTATATTTGATTTACAATTTTATAACTTCAGCATGCATGCGAGAAGACAATATAATAGTGCGCTGATTATTAGTTTTTTCTTGAAACTGAGCGCTGTTTTCCGTAATATCAGAGACAATGGTTGATTATGTAGCTCATAATTTTTTTGTGATGAAAAACTCGAGTCGGTTTTAGGGGTTATTACTACATATGTCTGCGGAACAATTCAAAATTACAAATTATCAAAAACTGCAATACTGGGGATGATTTAATCTTCAGTTTTGGTGTTAAAGGTTGACGACGAAAAATGGTGTTCAAGGGATTTTTTAATCGAGACAAAATTGTATTTGCATATCAAAACTCGCTTTGTGCCGGATCAAGTAGTAGTAGAGTAAGAGTGCTAGTTGGCTTCTAATCAATAGCCACTGATAACTCAAAATCTGCAGTTATGAGGTAGCTTCATGACATGTTATTCATGAAGATAGTTGGTTGCATTAGTTTTCCTGGTTGCTATGCGGTTTCTTCCATATTCTTTAAATATTCAACAGGCGAATATGCTGGGATTATGAATTTGTAACGGTAGGTTCATGGTTGTCCAAGTGCAGGTTAGGTAGGAAAGCTGTGGAAACTAGGAGGCAGTGGCAACAAGTAAAGGTGATATTGGTGGAATTATGGAAAGTCGTGAAGGAGATCCTTCTAAACCTGAGGAGCAGTTCTCAGACAGGAATCAGCACAATTATGGAAGCTATGGAAATCTTGTTTTACAAAATGGCTTATCTGATGACAACCATTTTCAAGTTGATCCTGATGATCAGCTTCTACAATTGGCTTTTGAACTTAGATTTCAGAATGATATTTTAAAGTCTCAGTTTGAGGGCTTTAACAGTCTCAACAGTGTACATAGTGACTATAGTGTGGGGGAAAAAGTTAGTGGCCCAGAAGAAGTTAAATCTGATGTCATTGAAGAATTGCAGGGAAGGATACAAGCATTAAATAAAGAACTTACAGATGAAAAGCATACGAGAGGTGCAGCTGAAGAGGCTCTAAAGCATCTTCAATTGGCATACTCAGACACGGATGCAAAAGCTCAAGAGCTGTCTGAAAAGCTTGCTGAAGGTCTGATACTCGAGTAAAATTTGACTTTCATTAAATATAATTCTACTATTTGTATGGCTACATGTTTGGCAGTGTGTAAATGAACTGAGTTGTTTGTGAAATTTTGGATTTAGCTCATCAAAATTTTGTTTGTGCTTGGTTCATTTATTAAATAAATAAGCTCAATCAAAATATTAAGCATGCTTAGTTTAATGAGAAGAGTTAGAAAATTTAATCCTCAACACAATAAGTTTAAATCAGCTTGGTAAGTAATAGTGTAATTTTATAATTGTATTTGTTTACGATTTTATTAAGGATTATTGATAAACTTGCAAAATGATGCATCACTAGAACGTTGGAATACATTTTATTATATAAATGAACAAACTTGACTTTCCCTCCCTGAAGTTTCGTATTTTAGAATCAAATAGATATGGAAAAAGATGCTTTGTGGTTGCTGCTGTCATATAGGAAAAATGAAAATACCTCTCTGGAGTGATTTAGCTCTATTAGTTTTAACTAAAGAAGGCCTTGTGCATTTTCACAAAGTTACTGTTCATGACTTGTGAATAATATAGATTCCTACATCTTCTATAAATATATTGATGATTGTATAAATGCATCATACACCTTCGTTTTCTAGCTGAAAAGAAGCTGGATCAAGAAATAAAAGAGCGTGAAGAAAAGTATACTGAACTTGATACAAAGTTTAACAGGCTTCACAAACGAGCAAAGCAGCGGATTCAGGAGGTTCAGAAGGTGAATCCTTGCTATTTTTCTTTTCTGATTTCTGAATTTGTTATTTTGTGTTTTTCCTTACTATTTTTTTACTGAATTTTTATATCGAAAATGTAGTGCCTTCAAACAATGATCCCTTCCAATCATAATTCCCGTGCTATTCTCTTAAAATTCATCTTTAAATAAGCATATCTTTGCTAGCTCGGTGCATCAACAGAAGAATTTTCTTGAAAATTTCTTTCATATTAATGTAGAATCTGAGTCAAATTGTTGGTCGGGAAACATTGTACTTAGGAAAAAGATGATCTTGAGGTCCAATTGCGTGAGGTGAATGAAAAGGCTGAGCAAGCATCATCCCAGCAATCATCATTGCAGCAAGAGATAGAGCGCACAAGGCAGCAAGCAAATGAGGCATTGAAGGCCATGGATGGGGACAGACAGCAACTAAGAAGTGCAAATAACAAGTATGACCACTATGTTGCTCTTCATTTTGCTGATTGATGAGGATATGAACTTTTTAGATTCTCATTAATCTCTAGGTGTGCAGTGGTAGAAACTGCGTTCCCATGCACTTTACACTTGGGATGACTTTGTGCAGTATGACATTTTATCTTAGGCAATACCTTATTTTGCAGTTATTTGCATTGCAGGGATCAGATTACAACAACTTCCCGTCCTTTATCCCCTTTCTTGTTCCTGCATGTATTGATGCTTTCATGACCAGATTAACCTTTTGTTTTAATTCTGAAATGGGAGAATTTGTTCTCTCCATATTTTTCTCGTTATTTTATTTATTTTGACATCTCAAGGTGGGAGGTGTTGAGTGGAGGTTCCAGAAAGTAAAATTAGTAGTATATACCTTATAATATTATAAATGTAAAAATCTGTGTCATCCAGACTTCGTGATACCATTGAGGATTTGAGGCGTTCATTGCAACCAAAGGAGAGTGCCCTTGAAGCATTGCAACAGTCACTTGCAGAAAAGGAACAGGTATGAAAATCCTATTTATACTTAACTGGTTAAAACCTTTATTTGATTTAGGTCTCCATTTTTGTGCGAACCAAATTTCTACCCCCTTCTTTACGGTGTTCTGGTGGACTGAGGGTTAGTGTAATCAGCTAGGAAAGATTGATTGCATAGCTATGGATGTGTAGCATAAGCTAACTTTTCAACAAAACTATTTATACAGGATATCCATTCATATATAGTTCAAGGTCCACTGGTCCCGTGTAAAGCATATTCAATCTTACACTGCTGGATAATCATTAGTGAATGAGTATTACATGGAATCAACAGTTGAATTTCAAGCGTGCACAATGCACATATTTTTCTTCCATCTTTCTACTTTAACATCAAACGTACTACTCTATGTTAATGAACATTAATTATTTGATTAAATATAAAATGATGATATATTTTATGAAATTTGGGGTGGAAAGTCAACAAGAAAGTTGTTTACTTGTTTATACTTCCTTGATTTTGATGAGAATTACATTCTTAGTTATTGGTTGGAGTAGGTGTATGTATGCAGATTCTAGAAAACTGATGCGCTCACTTTTGTTTTATCTAGTTCAAGAGATATATGACTAATTCTGTGCTCGTCCTTTTCCCAATCCTGATTGTCTCATTTGAACCTGATGATGATATTACATCTTCTGACAAAGTTACAACTGCTTTAATGATCTTATTGCTTTGCTTTGATCTTTTTGGTTAGGAAATTTCACCAAAAAATATATTGGGAGCTTTCCCAACTTCTGTATTAATGGATTTTGAGTGACTTTGTTGCCTTTTCACCTATCCAAAGGTTCAAACAATTTGCACCACTTATTCAATTTTTTTTGCCAAATGTTGTGATATTGTAATTTCTTTTCTATATTATACTTTATCTGCACTGAATACAAAGGTTCAAACAATTTGCACAACTTATTGAATTGTTGTGATATCAGTTTGGAATTATATCGATTAATATGAATACAATTCTGTTCTCTGGATGTGTAAAAATAAAAAACAAATGAGAATTCAGATGATAGAAGATATGAGAGGTTTGCTTCAGGCAGCTGATGAAAAGAAGCAAGCTGCACTGGCTGAGCTTTCAGCTAAACATCAGAAGGTACATGTGCATTAGGTTTCTCAATTCTTGTTCCTATGTTCCTTCATGGTTGAACTTCTATGTCATATTGTGTGCTGTCATTTCACATTTTGTTTGTGCTTTTGCTTCAATTTGGTGTTGGTTTTCATCAGAGTATGGAGAGTTTGGAAGCTCAACTTAATGATGCTATATCTGATAGAAATAAAGCAGCTGAAACTATTTCCTCACTGCAGGTGGGTTTTTTGATTTTGAGGTTTGTAATCCTTTCGACACAGTTTAAGGGAAAAAAAACATACTACAGAGTGGAAAATTATGCTATGGTGCATGGTTTCTGATAACGCTGAAGATTTGCATACTTGTACTACTGAAGTTGCACTGCATTTTCTCTTTCCTCATACTTAGCTCCTTTAGGAAGATTCTATTCTTGTCTAGAGGCTCCAATGGCTAGGTATCCAGCCTATTTTTGGTGGTTTGGGCTTGGAGATTGATGGTTGATTAGAATTTGGCTTGGTTCAGGTTTAATTTCCAAATTTAGGCCTTGAATTAACTGATATAGAGAATCTGTTTTTCTTGCGCATTCCCCCATGATGCTGAGCAATTTTTCTTTTTAAATTTCTTCTTGAGGCATCTTTTTGTGTTGTTGTTGAATATGTGGAAATTCTAAGTTGCCTCCTCTGCATTTCGTGGTGCACCTCCTGCAAACGTTTAGGATTTTTAGTGTTGTTATTTTTCATCTGATCATAATGATACTTCTCTGTTGACCCAAGAATAAGCAGGTGTTGGTATAAAAATAAGGGATTCCAGCTCTGTCACCCCTTTTTTGCACGAACCAGGAACCATTTCATGATTAAGGTTCATCAAATTGTTGGGCTCAATGGTCATGTTACTAAGCTTTTCCAGAAAT